CTACCATTTAGTTTTCGATAAATTAAGTGTATGCTGTTAAACTATATCCATCCTGTGTAACACACTGACACCTCCTCTATTTAACCGATATGTATACCGTATGGTTGCAATTTAAAAGCATGATATTTAATGCTGGGACAAAAGGTAAGTAAAACGTGAGTAAGAAACGAGTTTTGAAACCTAATTAATGCCAAATGTGCACACAGTTCTCCTAATAAATAGTTTACAGAACATAGAAATAAGCTAAGGCCTGCTGTTCAATTTGAGTACGGGTTTAGTCCCTTGACACTAAGACAATGTAGAATGTCACCCACATGTATGTTTTGCTGAAAGACATGCATCACAGCCACGAATATGTTAGTACTGGGGTTAAACAGTGTTTGCGTATGCGGGGTCTCCCATCCCTATAAGGTCACACACTTTATTGCACAACTCTTCAACATTGCATTGGTTAAAACAGTGACATCGGTTTAAAAGGTTCAAAACCTTTAAAACTTTCTAATAACCTGATAAAGATTTCACCATTTTCAACACGAGACATAAAATGAATATGATTCTTGCTACCGCACCGCTACATATTTGCAACAGATTTTCTGAATATCAAAGTAGATTTAAAAAATAAAATCTGGTAGGGTGTAATTTATTCGTATTTGTTATGATTAATTTAAGTGACTGCTCAGGATGTAATAAATGAGTAATAGGTAAGAAAGTAAACGTTAATTTCATAGTAATTTATATTATGGAACAGCTACAGCTCAAAGCATTCACGTTCAATTAAAATACTTTTTTATAGAATTTTTTAGGAAGATAAATGAAAAAAACATCGCTGATTCGTTTACGTTACGTATTTATTACTTATTACAGACTGTTAATGAACACTTCAACCACTTAAAGGTTTTTATTACAATTCAACACAAAACTAGTGTTCATAGTTATATCAGCTAAACTGTTTTACAATAGGTGTATTCTAAAATATTCGAAAATCTTCTAAACTCTTCTAAAATCATGGGACATGGCCGTTTACATAGAATTGAGTGATTTTTTTTCCTGTGTGCATGTGTTTAGGAAATATATTTCACAATCTATTTTATCCGATACAGAACAAATAACAAAGGTTTCAATCAAATCATTGTACTATGTATATTATTATTATCATTCTTAGTATTAGTAATTACTAAGAAAGTATAATCAGTTGCCAGTATTTAACAAATAACATTAAATATGTTAAGGTATATTTCAATCCAAATAGCAAGCGCAAGATTTGTATTTTAAGAGACGTCTAAAAGCAGGAGGTTACTGCGGACCTGTCATTCCCATGCGAAGAATGTAATTGGGTTTCTGGAGGTGATTAAAGGTGAACATTTTACAGGTCGTAAACTTTTGGAAATATGGCAAAGAACCTCGCTCCTGGAAAATTAGTTGAAATGTGAAATGGTAATTTATAGTTGCATATTCCCAGCATTCAAATGATTGTAATGACTTTTTAGCTATGACAAAGTATTATCCAAAAGGAGTTTTCTTGCTGAAGTAAACAATACAAAGAGGAGCTTTCATCAGAGATTTATTGATAAAAATCACGAAAATAGAAAAAAACCTCATAATGTTTTATTTTTTATTAGTGTATGTAGTTATTCATCCACCATACGCTATCGGATCTTGACAGTCGTCATATCAGGGGTAAACGTTTATATGGCATAAATAAAATGTTTACCATAAGAAATGTGTACTTATATTGTTAATAATGGAATATTATAATCACTTATAATTGAGTATTAAGAGGACTTATTCTTAAAGTAAGTTCTAAAAATATTAATGCGATCAGCCATGAACAACATGGAAGAAACTGAACTAATTACATTAATTTACGTTTGAAAACATCACAGACACCCTCTATCAAAATATCAACGCCTTTTAACCAGTTATACTATAAATAGCTGAATTATTAAAAAGATAATATTAATTCCTTCGAAATCCTCTTCAACACTCTTTCTTGTTTCTTTAGTTATTTTATGAATAACTTCTTGATCAGCATTATACGTGAAATCGATCACCACTTACCTTTCATGTATATTTACCGTCTTTTGAGTAAAAATATAAGCGTAAATATTATGTTTTAAGCGTTATTAGACTACTAGCTGTTGTACCCGTGCTTCGCAACGGACGAGGACACAAAATAGAAACATTTCGATCTATGCATCTGTTGCATAAAATAGTTAAACATCCGCCAACACTTTTAGAAACAAAATTCAACCTTTATGGCCTTAATAGAAACATTTAAGTTATGACTTTTAAATCTGGTAAGTAGTGGAAACCGCATTTTTAAATCTGGTGTAGGCTGATATGAGAAAAACTACCACATTTTCGAATAACATTTTCACATAGGCTACATGATTTACCTTCATCTTCCTTAGTTACATTTTTTTTTCTTTATATTTGATATTTTAAATTTCAATCTTGAAGTTGCAAAACTAACATCATCAGCTGTTATAAACTGTATAAATATTTTTGTACCTTATCAATAGTCTTTTGAAATATTAAATAAACGATATCTATACCATATAAAAGTTGTAAATTATTAATTTAGCATTAAAGACGGCAGACAAAACTAATATGATTTGAAAACATCAAGGACTAAAAAGGTAATAGTAAATACAGTATATGTTTCATTGCATCTCTGGTTTTTACTCTACAAAAATATCAACGAACAGCGATATATACAAATCAGTTCTTTTAATCAGTTCAATAGTCCATTTCCTTTACATTTTCACATTTACCATTAAGTAATCATGGTAACAGATATTTCATTGATTTTAAAAACAAAAACGCACTGTGTACAGGTTAGTTTTGTGGTATTTTCCTTTATTTAATTTAATCAGTAATGTGGAAAAACACAAATAATAAATTTATAAAATAAAGTAAATGTGAACTGCAAGCTATTTTAAGGTAAATAAGAGTATTTTGTATTACCTTTAATAATTAAATATAGTTACACATATACCACAGATTTTAGAAAACGAAAATCATCGGCGCACAATTGAGTTATTTATGGTATTCTTTAGTTTAATTTAAGCAGATGTGTAGCAAAACACAATTGCTAAATTTAACTAAATATAAAAAATTAATGTGAAGTGAAAGTTATGTTAAGTGAATCCAACACATGCTACGCAGTCCGAATTTATAAAAATTAGACTCAAAATTTATGCAAAACATCCATATATTGTAATTTTCTTACTATTTCCATGAAAAATATCAATAACCTTATATATTAATTAAGGAACTTTAAAAAATCTAAAGCAGAGCCTAAGTTGATACAGCAAAACTTATATAATATTTTATTTTATTTCTATAATCATTGACATAGTTTTAGAATAAATGATCTATGATTAAGTTTTTTATTAAATAAACCAACCACATAATTAATTGTGAAAAATATTATATTTAATTTAATTGGATCAGCTGTCTGAAATTTTGAAATGTGCAATTTGGCAGTTCTTCTGGTTTACATTGAAATGTCAAAGCAAATACAATCATTGTGAGTATTCTCATTGCAGCCATGGAAACCAATCAATATTTACTTTTAAAATCCTCACCTAAGCTATATTTTTGTAAAATTTAAGTTCAGTAGTTTTTTCTTCTTTTATTAGTAATACAGACAGCCACCATTAGATATTTATATAGTAGTATAGATTTACTTTCCGTTACTATATGAAACAAGCTTAATACCCAAAGCAAAGTGTAACTTTATTACAATGGTTCTAGGATGTATGGCAAAGCTATCTTCCATGTATTTGATACAGTTTGCTGCACGATTTATCAGATTTTAGTTTCATTCAGCAAAAGCTACAAAATGCCAATCATGTGGATATCCTCAGCCAATATTGTGGCGTGTTGCAGTGCGGCAGTAAAGCCTGCTGTGGCTGGATCCCAATACCTTTGTCACAATCAGAACGGCATCTCAATCCTTCCTTTACGTTTCGCTTTCCTTTCTACTTTACTATCTCAAATTGATATAAAATTGCTTTTCCGACTTTCCTCTGTGATGGATTCCAGGAAATCATCCTTTACCAAGCTACATGACACGTGCAACATCGTGATTTTAATATAAAGTGATGATTCAAAATCATTAAATTTTTCTGAAAATTATTTTCAAACCGAGAGGATTAACAAGTAATTTCCACAAAATAATGTGTGTATGTATGGTTTCAAACTTATAACTTAATCTGTCAGTTGGGAAATTTATATTGTAAACAATGCAATTTCTATTTTATCCCGGTATTTTATACGCTAACTTGATTAACTTGTCAATAAATTAATAATATTAAGAGACAAAACGTATAAATAACATAATCTGTGTGATTACACTGCAGTTTAATAAACTACGAGCAATTCCATATAACTACAGCCTACGTATTAAAAATCTTCCAACTGATCCGTCAGAAGATCTCACGATGATTAAATGTTTTACAATTGACATTTCGAATTACAAAATTTAATCTTCTCATATTATTGTAAATTATGAAGCTTGTTGAGAATTGATGTTAGCTGATGCTTCTCTCTTACGTTTGAGCTTATTTGTTGGTTTTACAATCTAGTACAACTAATAGTTCACAGACGAGTTTTTAATCGGTTGTCAAAATACTTTTAAACTGAAATAAAATAAAACAAAACGCGCTCTACATATACAGAACAGAGACATACCTTAAATGTAATCAGCCAATCGATTTATGCCACTTATGAATAGTTTACTTAATTTAGTTTTACTTGAGTTTACTCAATCAATAGTTTTACTCAATTATGTGTCATATGTGTAGTGCATGCGAGCCCTTTTGTTTATGTGTTGTATCTCTTGATAATATTATTTTTAATATTCCAAAACATGAACTGCTCTTCTTAAAACATAATTAACTTGTTTACCTTGAGTCCATGGGACTAGTTAATTTGATAATTCAGGAAATTGAGGGAATTCAATAAAAAATTGCATCATGTAGAAGAAAATAGAATTGAAGTAAATAAATTCTTTAATACAAATAACGATAATACAATATTTACATTTATTACATCTTATACTACAAAGTGATCCCTTAGTATACATTTTTACAGATATACGTAACAAATATTTACTTAATCTTTTGGTATCACTGTATAAAAAGACTTTTCAAATCTTTTCATTTACAAACATATACATTAAATTTATATTGACTACTGCTATCTTTTAAAACTACCAACTTCATTTTGATTACTTTAAATGAGGTTAATAAAGACAAATTATTAATAAGGAAAATGAAAGAGAGCAATGATGTTTGGATTTAAGATAAATTGGTGGGCACTTATCCCTTTTTTGAAATTCACCAACAACTTTTTTATATCATTATAAATCACCATATGTTAAGGTTAAAATAGAAAAATAAAGAATCAGCATAGTCTTATAACAAATTTGGTTTTTCTTACTTTTTCTCACAATTAATTATAAAGACAATTAAAACCTTTCATAATGGCCGTATTCTAAAAGAGGGTTAAATGTTTCAAGAAAACAGGAACTAAATACGTTTTAATGAAGGGTCTATTCTTGAGCCGCGCTCCGTAGTTTTCATCTTGAAACCCTTTTATTATTCCATCACTTCAAACGAACGTAACGTTTCGTCGCTTAATTAAAAATAAATTAATGCCTCTTCAAGGGGTAGAGTGTCATTTTCACAAAACATAACGTTCTTGTTGTTGTAGGGGTTGTTGCGCACTCGGCTACGTGACCGTCTGCAGGATCCAAGGGACAAACTTGGATATCCTTGTGCAGACCCCGGGCAGATTGGCCTCTGCACACCCGATGCCCCAACTGATGATGCCCGCCAGGAAGTAGCGACCGTCCTTGCCTTTCACCTGCAGAGGTCCACCGGAGTCTCCCTGGATGTAATATGCATAGAAATATAGTAATTTGTAAAAAGGAATAAAATCACTGTACGTATTGGGGTTCTCACTTCTTACCCACAAGGCATTTTGACGCGCAAACATAGGTCTAGCTTTCTGTAGGAAATATAGTTGAAGAAAAGTTGTGGGTTTATATTCGGCTATTGACCTTCTATTAAACTATGTTTTGTAAGCAAAAGAGGTCAGTGGGCAAATAATTTTGACTTCGAAAACCCTTATTAGTTGAAACAAAAAAATACGTTATGAGTATTATAATGGTATATAACAAATGAAACCAAAGGTCATTGCTACCAAACTAGATATGAAGTGAGTTATTGTAGTATCAGTACTATCGTCAGTATCGGTGGTGATTGTGATCTGTATTCTGTATACCTGACAAGAGTCTCTGCCACCGTTGTCGTAGCCCGCACACATGAAGATTTCTGGGATGAACTCGTGCCTGCCTGCGCGCAAGAACATGCTCTTACACTTCTCGTTGCTCACGATGGGTACAGTCACCTGCAAAATATTAATAAAACTCAATATTGCAAATCGAAACAGAGTTAGAAGAAATTTCTTTTATTCATCCTGTTTCTGTCAATAAATTACAACAGAAACTCTATGGATCAGAAATTTAAACAAATCACGTCACTGGTCTGAAACCTATACTAAATTATCAACATATAGTTTAGAAGAAATCTGATAATTCCATTTAAATAATAATGCAAACATGGGGCCAGTAACGTCATTTGTTTATGTTTATGATCCATACAGTTTATCACGAATATTATAACAGAAACTTTAAACGTATATAATAAAAGGACAATAAAAAAACAATTTATTTTTGGTAACCCCCTCTGCAATTAGTGTAAGAAGGGAGACCAGGATATTTATTTGAATAACAGCGTTCATTTTCAGGATTAAAACGTTAACGGTCTAATTAGATACTTCAGGTAGCTCAACTGTTGCAAATTCATCATAACTGAAGTGCACAAATTACTTTGATGGTTTCGTTAGAATTATAAGGAATTTATGAACGGTTAAGGAATATAAAAAAATTATTGTTTGAGCTCGTTGTAAATAATATTCATAGACCCTATTTATTAGTAACAATCTATTTCAACGCATGCAGTTATTTCATTTTGCATTTCCTGAATTATTATGGCAACAAACCTCATAACTGTTTTACTTCTTCAATATTTTTTTTTAATACTGCAAAAAACCTAAAACTTTCGTCATGTCATGAAAAACGTCCTTCTTAGAACAGTAAAGTAACATATCAAAACGACATAGAGTAAATTGAACAACATATTTGTGTTTATTCAAAAAGAAAACAAACCTTCAAACTGCGCACCACTCTTGAGATCGAGCCAAATCAAAATAAAACTGGGATTATATGAACTATTGTTTAATGATTCTCTCGCCCACAAAGTCTTTTCTTCGTGCAGACCATAAAATGTTATAAGTTTTTGTTTGAAATATTTTTTTCGTAAAATATAATAAACAGACAAATGTTTTTTTTTTTTTTTACTGTTCGTTGACTTAAGAGTTTTCCGAATTTTTCATCTTTCGTAGAAAAACAGGGTTTTCCTACAGTTACCTAAAAATGTACATGTTCTCTCACTGATTTGAGAAAGCAAAGTGGTCATTTCGCTCATCAGTGAGACAATGTTGACATTGTCTCACTCTAATTACTTTGTCTCACTCACTCCATATTTGCAACGTGAAGGCACGAAATAGTGAGCGCGTAACATGCAGACAAGGCCGTATGCGCACGAAATACGTTGGCAGCACTGGCTGTAAATCAGCTGGTCAGCTGTTGTACTGTTGTATCATTAAATGTAATATTAAAAGTTCACTTCTGTGTAAAAAAATATTTCACGTTTCTTTACCAAACTAAAATTTTTTTATGGTAACTGTAGGAAAAATATAATGTGCAACTCGAGTGCAAAGTGCAATTGCCTCACTCGAGAAACCATCCCTCACTCGCCTACGGCTCGTGAGTAAGTATTTCTCTCGAGTGAGTCAATTGCTCCCTTTGCTCACTAGTTGCACAAATAACAATTTCTTAGCGAAAATACGGCACATAATATTAATGAACACCAGGTCTACATTTACTATTAAATGGAATCTGTTGAACGGAAGTGTACCGCGGCAGTCAATGACAGGGCACTGCTTAATTCATGACTTTATATGTGCCGAGACTCGGGGAGCAAAGACAAGTCAGAGCTGTGATGGATGGTTGTTATGAAAGATAATATATATTTTTAATTGGTATGCAAATATATTTTCCCTCACAGGTTTTGTAATATCAGGCAACCGCCTTATTAGAATAATCAATTCAAAGTATGTTTTCCTACAATCATAACAAATTGCAAGGCACCCTATTACCTCCTGCAGCACGGACGGTAGAGTGCCTCCCTCACTGAGTCTCCCCCAGCCTGTGACAGTGGCAGGCTCGCCTATCAGCAGGTCGTCGCTGCCCGGCAGACAGATGGGTGATACGTGCGGAGCGAACTCCAGTGGCGCGTCTAGTCGCACCAACGCCAGGTCGTACTCGTACGTGAAGAAGTTGTAGTTGGGGTGGACCACCTTCTTGGCCACCCCTCGCTCCATGTGGGGGTACGGCTCTATCGTGCTGGAGAAGTCGTACTCTCCCACCCGGATACGAATCTGCGACGCTAGTAAACTACAGACACAACAAGAGTTAAACAGAATCTAAAATAATAATATGGAAATAAATATTTGAGAATGGATGCTGATGAGTAGGCAATGTGCACTTACTCGTCTACGCAGTGCCCCGCTGTAGCGATCCACTGTTCGTTGAGCAACGCGCCGCCGCATCTGTGCGTGCTGGAGAACCCGAAGAAAGACGTCCTGCGAACTGACACCTGCAAAACATGATTGGCGTTTGATTATGAAACGCTATGTTTTGTATATCTACAACCTTTGACTATTCGTCAACAATATAACTTCAATTCCAAGATCTTGTTAGGATTTAAATTTATCCAAGTAATTGTAAAGAATTATGAAAAGATAGATGTATTTCCTTTTTCGACAACTTAGACACAATGAGGTTATTTCTAAATTACTGTTTTCGTCATAAATGTACATGCTGCGGATTTAAGCTGGATTATAAATTGACTAACCACATGTTACCTAAAGGAACAAAAATTAAACTGTAAGATTTTAAGTGATCAATTCAGGTTGTGTCTTTATTTTCGTATAGGATAAAGCAAATTTAATGAATGCGCACTATTCTTTGCATCTTCAATTAACTCAGAGATTCATTCATAGTACATAACAGTTGTTGGTAATTGAGTTATACAAGTTGATACGTACTTGCCACGGCCAGACGCCGAACTGCGCGTTTTTGCCGCCGACGATCCTCATTCCGCTCAACCTCTCGGGTTGTGAGTTGACCATTGGCACTCCGCACTCTGCAACACAATAATTGATACAGTAATATAATCCTAATTGATCTTAAATCGTAATGTCTAGTAACGGTATGTTATACAAAACTTTAAACAATACTAAGCATGACTAATCTCGATAATCATATCTAACCCTTTTAATTTATAGAACTCCAATTTTATTTATTTTAAAGTAAATGGAGAACATTTTACAATCCATGAGACGAATCCGTAAATATTTACCATCAGAGGTCTTGTTGGCTGACACACTGGGGCTACTGGACGACTGAACCGGTGTGGTCGTACTGGTCGTGGTCGTGGTCGTTGTTGGCGACGTCGTGGTGGACGTGGTGGTCGTGGTGGACGACAACATGACTGACGGCCTCGGCTTGGCCTGGGCCTGGGGCTTGGTGACGAAGGTAGGCCAGTGGTGACTGTTGGACCACGTAGAGTCTACCATGTTACTTAGGTCTGACTCCATCGTGTGACTGTGGCCGGTCCCGTGTTGATGGCCCCATCTAGACACAATACAAACATCAGTTACCAGCCACACTGTCAAATATGTATACGTTATTGCTATGTGTAACAGTTATATTCTGATTGGTCTTGACTAAACGTTCTATAACGCAGGGAACGCTAAGGTTAAAACATTTATGGAGTTTTTAAACACCAAGCCTAAATGTTTCAACCATTCCAAAAACATTACTCTGAGCTATCATACAAATCATTGTTTTTTTAAGTCAACGCGATAATATCTGGTGTGCTGGTTGGTATTTACAAATATATATTCTGCTACGTAAAAGTTTCACTTTGCACTAGGGCAAATTATTTTTTTGATAAGAAATTAAAGAGTATTATGATAGAGGAACTGCCTGTCAACAACTCTTAGAACAGAAAATGTATGTCAGTGGCATACGAGAAAGACTACCTGCTGGAAAGTAATCATATGACCCTAACACGACTTCCTGAGTTAGCCATAAATCCTCATAGAGGAAGTGACTCGGACATGTATTAATAATTCAGTTTTCCGTAGCAGCGAGACCTAGATGCTTCAAACGAAAGTGCACGTGAGAGAGCGTGGAGCGTGAGAAAGTGGTCTTCTTACAACTTTTTACTGACAAGAGAGTTTTAAGGTGCTATTAATCAATAGGAATGTGAAAAATGGCTACCTAGTCCAATTATGCTTGCTTTAGACTGATTGGAATCCAGTCGATGACCTTTAGATATGAAACGATCATTCTCATCTCAGTGGTACTCATCCAATCACAGAACTCGTGAAAGTGTTGTCGGGTTGGTCGGAGATAATCAACAAACGAAAGATTAAGGGGGTATACAATTAGTTTCGCATAGTTTTGTTTTATTTTATAAATTTATAAATTACCGTGTCGTTAAGTATAATCAAATGTCAGTCTGTATTATAGAAGCATATATGATGAAACGCGATACTGTTTGTAGTGAGGAAATCTCAAGGGAAATCCGTGTAAATAAGAACAGTTGCAGAGCGTGCGTTCAGACTCCAGAGGGCCATATTGAGCCACCTACCTGCACAAGGCAATATGGAACAATCCTGTTGGGGATATTCAAATATATAAATCATGCCATTTTAATAAACCTGTCATAAAGAAAATAAATTATTTTATATTGTAAAGAGATTTTATGTGAAGTAGAACAATTATTAATGTACTGATAAATTTTCTGGTGCTAGATTTTAATTTTTTAACTAATCATTAACATCACGTTAATTCTATAAAGTTTATTTCTCGGCATTTTAGTGTTAATTTGGAATGGAAATAAAACTGCTATGCTGATAACAAAACTAATGAGTTTTTAAAAGATCAAAGTTGGTTTACTATGGTTTACTCTAATAATCTGGAGTCATAGTATTCAAAGACGTACGCGATTTTCCGTGGGTCCGCATAAGGACACCTTGTAGATATCGTACCTATCACACATACTGTCGTCACTTAATCAGATAAATCACCTCTCTGTAGAGCTGGACGGAGCAGCCGGCCTCGGACTGCTGTGGGACCCTTGGACGATGGTGATGTGGGGTTTGTATGGACTAGGAGTGGAGGACGGGGAGGTCATGAAGTGAGGCCGTGCAGGTCCAGGGGGTCGCGACTGCTCCACGGGTCGGGACTGGCTAGACTGTGGCAGGGAGGGTGCAATGTGCAGAGGTAGACGCTTGATCTGCTCAGGGGTGAGGTTGTGGCCGCAACACGACCTGAAGATGAAGGAGTCCTTGCACATGAACATGTGGTGGCCGTTGGTCTTCTCACAGTCGTACATGAACATACAGGTGCCGTTGAGGCCGTACTGGGCACCGCAGGGTCGCTCACTGATCAGGTAACCTGCAATGTGTCACTGTTATTATAGTTACTTATCTAGGTTATAGCTGTAACTATTATGAGGTTCCGGCCTGAGAATATGTCAAATTAAAATACCCACTCTTAGACATTTTTGAAAAACCATTATGTTTAGTGGTATTTCGATTGAGAATGTAAGTAATCCCTAACACGATTTAAATATCTGTGTTCAACAGGATGATTAATTATACTTTTGCATTGTTTACAACATATCCAGGAGTAATTGTTCGTCTAAAAGTCAATGGCAGATAGTGTATAATGGAACTTAAAAGACTTTTCATAGTTTTTGTTTTTAATACTTTTTCTAAAATGTTATGTATGATAAGTGACATTTGGCTTTCGCCTTAAAGTGAGTGGCATGCCTAGTTATTCGATACGAATTTACAGCTTAATGGTGATTTAGTAAGTAGTTTTATCTAGTATCCCCATATCTCCAAAAGCTTGGAGTCAACTCTACTAGCTATACCCTAAGAAATGTCGAACTTCTCTATTGATCGCCATCCGTTTGCAAAGTGGCTCAATATGAAAATGGTTGAGAAAAGGGTATTTTGAAATTAACATCGCGGTTTACAGCTTTGTGAAATGTATCTAAGTTATAGTTAGTACAGTACATAATACGAGCCAGTTCAAACTGTTTTGTTTGTTGGTGCCAAGAAGGGGGGGGGGGGAATTATTTCTTTGTACCTGATCAACAACTACCCGTTCGGGGCCCAAATTGTGATTTCTACCTTCGTGTGTTAAGCTTTAACCAAGTGTAGGTTCCTCCTCTTCTATCCCACCTTGAATAATGCGGCTGATGAAATCATTATTTTATAAACACTAATCAACAATGTATAGAAAAAAAAACTCACAAGATAGTTCTACTTGTGTTTTATTACAAATTGTTCTTACATTGAACGTTTAAGATAAAACGTTGTTGGAGCTAAGTTTACAAATATATAAATATGAAAAATCATATATTAAAGGGCGTTAAGCCCTCGTTCATTTAAAAACACCCTGAAATGCATCTTTATGTTGGTTTATTGTATTACATTTTGCGTATTTAAGGAATATATCTGCTCTCCAGCAACAACTACATTCGTATTTTTTTTTATTGTTAACCATACATAATAAAGCAAATTATGTAATTCCTAATTAAAATTGTAATTATATTTCTTAGACAGAAAGCCAAGTTACAGTCTTTTGTATGACTGAATTAACACCAATAGCAAAGACTGCTTATCGCTGCAGGTGTCAGAGCAGTTCTAACAAGTCTCATTTGTTCAAACGAGACATCACTATTATTTTTTGCATTATTAGCAGCTTAGGTATTAAATTGCAAAGACGAATTCTGGCATCTTTTTTTCTGTTTTAATCTAAATAATGCGTCCCTCTTTGAAAGATATTAAGATAATGTTTTCGTCATTGTAAATCTCACCTGTATATTCAATTAAGATTCTGAAACAAAATGATCAAACTATATGTTAATTTAGGAAAGGCAATTTCGCAATCAATAAACGAGATAGGAATATTCGCCGGCACTTGTATCTTACACCACATGCTATCATGATCAGTAGAAAGTAGATAAGAGTAATAACTAGTGCACTCTGAGATGTAGTATCCAGTTGCTAACACGTATTAGACATAATATAAGATAATGCCGATGTTTAAGCGGCTTGTCTGTGAGTCTATGATCATGGAAGCAGCGGTGATGACGGTGATGGCGGCTCACTGTAATTGAATACTAATTGATGGCTGGTAATACCGCTGATACATTCGCGCCAACCTTATATGCAATGATCGCCATAATACTTTCCCTTATCACGATTGCTACGAAAGTAAATTCGAGCTGATCTTGATATCATCATATTATAACAATCTTTGAAAAGGAAAGTTGATGGTAGATGAAGGCGAAATGCAAACTCTCGATTTCACTTGAATAACAATCTCCAGATGTGATATTAAGATAGTGAAGGTTTTTATGAAATATTTGCTAAATTTTATCTAAGTTTTGAATCTAGATTTTTATCAGAAATCTAACTTTAATGTCCTCGTTGACATTAAAATATATAAAGTTACCTATATAACTTCCCTAGAAATAAGTATTAGTGTGAAATTAGACAAACATGCAATGAGTTATCATACATAAATATTCCTATTACCACTATTACATTTAATTCTGGTTGAGTAATGTGTTAGTAAAGGATTTGAGATGGAAATGTATTATTTACTTTAGTTCATAGAATATCATTTTTACATAAAAGTAACTATGATTTACTTAAAAATTTTAAATTTCTATCAAACCACATTTTAAATTGTACATTATTTACTAGAAATAACCGTGGCCTATCGGTAGGAGCATAATCGGCGTTGATGCCTGGATGGCCATTTATGGCGGTCAATAGATGAATTTCAAGAAAGAGAATAAAGTTTCTTATCCAAACCACCTCAATATTGTTAACAAATTCACATTGCAATACTAAATATTATTATACAATTTTAAAAGTGGTTCGTAGGGGGAAAATTCTAAAGCATTTTCTACGAAATACTAAATCAATTTATATTTCAACTAGTTGAACCTCGCAGCTTGTACAATTAATATATACAAATATTTATCTACAAAGTATAACTACTAAAAATTAACATCTGAGTTCCGCTCACAATAAAAGAAAAAAAAGACTAACCTTCCGATTGTTTAATTTGATAAAAGAATCTTTTCCTGAAATCTCCTGTCAGTCGAAAATCAATTTTCATAGGGAAAGTTTAGTACGTGGTTATAGCAAAGGGTATAAATTACCAATTATTAAAATATTTCATCAAATAATAGTTGAGATCGTTGTCAAGCACAATAGAAGGTAGATAAATATCACGCTTCGAGCGATGAAGCAGAACAAACACTCGTCTGCGCTTGGAGAACCGATCAACCAACAACGACAAGATATTCTCCTTATTATTGTTCCCTTCAGTAAATACCTGCTGATTTTCTCAGATTTAATTGGGATTGGCTCTTGAATAATTTATCTCTCTCGAGAATATCGTTAGGGCTTTTATGACCAACATAATAATTTATATATTCTATTCCAGGATGTATTCCTGGAATCAGATAAAAGCAGCGTTTTAATGGAGACTATGATTCTGTTTATTAACTGTTACATAATTTATCTTAGAAATAATAGTTAAGACACATAACATTTCCTTAAGTGAAAAATAAATAGAAAAACGCAACCTGTGAGTCTAGCCTTTATGACCATCAAGAATGAATTAATATTGATTCTAAGAGAAGTACACTTGTGAAATGGTCCGTATTTATAAGAAGTAAATATTTTTCAGTTCTGAAAATGTTGCTAATACAGTAAAATAAGTGTACGGTACTTAAGTAACAATTTACATTCATAGCTTAAAGTATAATACTTTTGGATTTTATTCTAATAAGTAAACACAATTATAATGTTTTGGTAACGGGGCCATTATTTCCAAACAACGTAGACTTGACGATAACATTCATTTAACTCTTGAAAGATTCTTCAACCTTTATCATAGGTCAAACATATTTTAAAAATGAAAACAAACTCTATTAAAAATGTTGACAAACTTATAAACAGCAAAACAGTGAGTACATACTCCATTTTCTCCATATTTAAACTACTTATACCTCAGACCAGTGTAAATAACTATTTCATATTTGGATATACTCACTGCGCAACGCTCTGTCAGCTGGCTCTAGATGTGAGGTACTGGTATGGTGAGGGTGCGGGGCGAAGACCTGCGGAGACCAGCACAGCATGGTGACCACAGGCACCCACACCATGCTCACGCCTGTAACATGAACAAGTGGTTCAAGCATAATATTGTGAGTAAGATATGGACGCGTAACACAGACTAATCAATGGTGGACACCCTTTTTGATTTATATAGGTATTTAGAATGATTATAGCACACTGTCAAACCGGGGTATTTCCTTCTAATGTTATAGATATACCAGATTATTCTTTGCTGTATTTAGATATAAGACTACAAAGCAATAACACCAAATACTAGAGAGTTGGTTAAAAACCCTAACAAAATATGTGGTGTCAATTGTTTCATAATTGATGTCGACTACTTAAACGATAAGCAAAAAAAAACTAAATTTGTTCATTTTTAAGGGTGAGGTGCTGTTAAGTGTGTGTTATATACAATTTACTTTTATAATATACTAATATGTTAATATGATAAGCAAACACATTAGAATAGTTCATGTCAAAAAAGGTGTTTCAGTTTTATAGAGTGTTTAGAGTTTTCACAGATACAAACATATTGATATGATAAACCAACAAACTAACGCCATTCATGCCCAAGAGATGTGTTGTAGATGTTTGGTAAGATTTAAATTTTCTTGGTTTCTTAGGTGTTGATATGATATACCAACAAACTAGAGTTGTTAACATCAAACGAAGTGTTGCCAGAAGTTATTACTTTGGTTTACTTTACCAAGTGCCTCGCTCTATCACGGAGCCCTTGCCCTACTGACATCGTTGTCCCGGTTATCTCATCTCTATTCACTTGTGTTATGTGCAGCGAGATAGATATTGCTCTCGCTGTGGTTATTTAATTAGAAACCTAGACACTCGATCGCGATGTGGTGGTGTTTTATAATGTCTTCAGAAGCTGTAATTAGTTTCACGCTTCATGTTCACAGCTGGAAGAATAACATATATGGTGTAATGGTGTATGGGTTTAATCAGGAACGATGCTTGATAGTTAATAGTTGAAAACTGAATCTAATTATAATAATACAATACAGTAATTATTCTCATACAATTTCTTTTCCTTTTTAAAACTGGTATGAGCAATCATTAAATTTAAATGAAGACTATTTATTTATTGAAATTGGTGAGGATCCGCTTAACTCTTAATGGTACAGACGACAAGGAGGACGATTAAAACCCACATATCATGAATGGCTTTTAGCTTTAACATACTTTGTAACCCAATGGTTCTGAATCCACCTTACCTAAAGTTCCATTGGTAAACAAATATATACAAATGAAATATATGACTTTTCGATCCAATTATGACCGGCAAGTACGTTTATCTGATCTTGGGAACATGGAAATTTCAGGTTGTATATTGTCATAACTACAAAATAAAATCTGGCTTCATCTTTAGACTCTTGATTGTTTTGCCATTTCATCTAAAGCCATTCCTTTACAACTTTATTTCCGCTTTGGAGTACAAAGAAATAATGTGTTACTTCAATGAATATATTGAAATGACAGAATCACAAAAAAGCTTGTAAATGAGAGCTTAGTTGATATTTGATAAGTTACGTTATGTTATGTTTGGAGACTTGTGTTTATCCCACATCTGACCCAACATACGTCATCAATTAATCCAGGATAATTGGCTCTGAGATGTCTGACGGGATTATACCGTCCAAAGCCCAATGTCAACTAAATATTTGAATCAATTACAATACCTGATCTATTTCTCGGCTCACTCCAAAGTTTTGATCGCATTCAACAGCTAATTGTTTACCTTCTATTTTGATCTTTTTTATTTAAAAGTACATCAATCAATTACCTTTATTAGATACTGCAGCTTCCTTGAATATTATGAAAGGTTTATTATATTGATGTCTCATTTTAAAACGTTTCGTTTCTATTTATGCTCAGCTGAAAACTCGTTTTGAGGTGAATTTTTTAATTGAAACATAGTTTTGATTAGTCAAATATATATGTCTAATAATCTGAAACACAAATTATAGGATCTCACAAGTAGCACAACTACTCATCTCATAACTAGTATTTTGGTTACAATGCACAATATAATTTCCGTGACAATGCAATATTCGTCGAATGGTTAATTGACGATAAATTATTCATCACATTCAATTCACTGTTATGATTCGAGTAATCATGAATGGGCAATCTCGCAACGTAACCAGTTAGTATTCGATTACATGCTGTATTGGTAATGATTGACAATTTTGATAAGAGTTATTATGTCTAAAGGTTTGTATATAAAAATAAACAGTGAAGCGTTTGCTTTTTACAGTTGTACAACGAATTTTCATCACGTAAACTCAAGACTACTACATTATATACATAAATTGAATGAAAGGAAATAAATAGAGCATATACCAACAATATTATACTCATATAAACATGATGGTGTATATTACATTCAGAAAACGAATATTTTTGATCAATGTTGTATCGTGCACACTGTAACACATTTCGCTAAATTTAGTTTCTTTACATTTGACTGTATATGAAAGTGTATGAATATTAAAATAAGACTTCATTTAAAAATGGCTTATAACACGTGTTTCATATGAAAGCACACACGATTGACGCTTGTGATAAAAAAATATTTATAGACTGCGTAATAAAATTGTATTACTTCAACGTTGTATTATTAAAAAAACAAATTGGTTTTTCATAATTGTATTGAGTTTGCATCGTCGTAATATTAAACAACTCATTTACTAACATGCAAAAAACAATGACGTTATGAATCGTATATATGTATACATTAAGCATGGATTCAAACCTCTTAAATTAAGTTTGAAGCTGATAGTTCTAAGATGTTTGGTTCGAAATCGCAATGTTGATGTTAACATTTCCCTTAACATATATTTGAAACTTCATAAAAGAGTTATAGATAGTACTACTTGTAATTATGTAGTATTTCTTTTCAACATTACAGGTACAAAATGGTAGAGAAGATACAGAGTTTCATAAGTTATAAACTTACATCTATTATTTTAACTTAATCCTACTTATATTACAAGTGAGAAAGTTTGGATGTATTGATGGATGGATGGATGTTTGTGACAAGTAAACGCAAAAAATACTGGTCGGATTGGGCTGAAATTTGGTGTGATGATAGCTGACATTCCCGGTTGACATGAAGACACATTCTGATTATCAAAAACCCTTTCGGGCTCTAATAGTGTAGTAATTTAAAATCCAAATTTCTCCATTTCCTAAAAAAACTCTTATAAGTGTAAAACTTGGTACGTATATTGAGTTTTACTTCCGGAATAACATACTAAAAGTTCTAGAAAAAATACTTGTGCTACGGCCGCTATCTTGGAAAATGGCGCCCAAAAGACAGTTTTTTCCCGATTACTCAAAAACTATTCATCCTATAAAAAAAAACATTAAATGTAAAAAACGTTCGCCAAAATAAGAGCTACAACTTTGTATTAAGGGTATTTCGATATAATTAACCGTTTAGCCATAAAATGCAATATTTAAAAAATAAATTTGAAAATTCCTTTTTTCTAAGAACATTTTTTGCGTCGTGATGAAAAGTATCGTTCTTAACACGTACCGAAAGTTATTTTCTGGCACTTCCTCCATTATTCCCGTCCACGGCTTAACAACAGCCCTTGCAAAAACACCTATTATATGTAGTGGTAGTTATCTTAGTAAATGGATATTGAATTTTACCAAAGAATTAAGACATAAAAAAAATTAATCAGCAATAATATGTTAATATTGTATTTAGTAAAAAACAACCCTCTATAATACAATTAATTATTTTTAATTAAAACACTTATCATTGCCTACTGTTAAATGTTACTGTTACATTACTGTTACTGCCCCAATCTCATTCATTATCAGACTGAAGCTCTAATGCTTGGCCAGAGTTTCCGCATGACAACCCTTGACAATGTCGACACATGGCAGAACACTGAAGCATAGACCTACGACACTGACACCTGTTGGTACAGTTGGTCTTGCAATCGCAGGAAATAAGTTTTAGCAGCTCAGACGGAGCAGGACTTTTTGTTATGAACATGGGAATTAAAGTACTTCCAGTTTTCATCCAACCCCAGTCAGAAGTCCATTTGATTCTCTTTCCATTCCTAGATTTGTAAATACACACGATAGGAATGCTGAACTGCTGCATCACTTGTGGGGGGTAAAGACGCCAGATTGTAAACAGTTCAGTTCAGTTTTTATCTGGAAACAATGTAGTTATATCTGAAGTACCGTAAGTCATCTAAGGTTGTACTATTTGATCCACTGTATAGGCGAATTAAAAACTTTTCTCCTGCTGCAGATATCTCTGCTTTTGTTGCACCTAGTCTGGTAAAAACTTTCATGTCTTCCATTAGAGCACGGTCTTTTTGTACAAGTTTCAGGGCATTTATTTTCCTTTTTTTAAATATAGCTTAGCTCGTGTCACAACCTGTTACAGCGTGTACTAATAGAATAACTTCACCGAGTTCTCCCAGTACGGTTTGTTGTCTTCATATGTTGAACAGAGTTTCTTTTGTTTTGGACCTAGCTGGGCGCAAAACATTACCTTGTCAGTTATCGAAGCAAATGAAGTTAATAGAACAAGCAGATCGGTGTCTTGGCCCACAACCACGACTGTTTCACCTTTCATTGCTTCCTCTAATGCAGTTGACACAATTAAGGAATCAGCATCTGAAAATGCCAAGCGCACATTAATGTTGTTTTTCAAGCACCTCTCAGCGAGCATTTCTACGAAACACTTTTTGTTTCGATTGTTTGACAACTCTGCCTGTGTTGTTGTAGTGAAATTATTTCCTAGTGGTTGAATTGTAGCAGAGGTTCTTCTGGAAGCTCTTCGCTGCTGTTCACAGCATTTAATTGTTGCCTGATCAGGATATCCATCAAAGACCACCACGCACCTATCCTTCAAGTGTGACCGTATATATGAAATGTAACAATTAATAACGTCTCCGTAAGTAGCAGGTCGTGGCCATTTTACACTGTGCAAAAGATGTCCACCATCTACAATGTACATAGGCCTACAGTTATCAGGAATGTTGATTGATTCCTCAGGTAGAAAGG